GTGAATGTCTAGGTATTCAAGTAAAGAGGAAGCCCATTTGTAAGGGAAGTGGGATTGTAGGTGCGAAACCAAATCTGAGGTCAAAAAAATATGGATAGCGACAGTCTTATCCAAATTAATACGGAGACCCAAAATCAAGGAGAAGCACGCAAGAAACTGTTGAAAATTTGGGAGCGTCATCAGGGTATTAGTGAGAGTCAAGAGGGCATCGTCTGCAAAAAGGTTCAACTTAAAATTCCTGTCCCGCGTATGGAACACCTGATTATATTACAATCAGCCCCGAGCGTGAAAGCCAGCGGCTCAAGTGCCAGGACAAAGAGCACCGGGGACAGGGGGCATCCCTGTCTCATCCCTCGCCAAAAAGGAAAGGGATCTGAGAAATACCCAGCGTATTTAACCAAAGCTAAAGAACACAAGGTTTGAATCCAAGAGAGAATAGAATTCCCAAAGCCCCAACGAGACAGCACAAACCGCACATATTCCCAGGATAGAGAATCAAAAGCTTTATATATGTCTAAGGACAGTAAGAATCCCGGGATTTTCTGCTGTTGTAGAAGGTGTATAAGGTGGACCACCTTACGAATGTTATCACCCACCAGCATCCCGGGGACAAAACCTACTTGGTCCCTGTGGACCAGACTGCGCAAATATTTATTGATACGAAAACAAAGGATCTTGCCCAATATCTTCAGATCTCCATTAAGAATAGAAATGGGCCAAAAGGCTTGCAGTTCCTGCACTTCATCTGTCGTCTTAGGAATCATTGAGATATGAGCTCTGAGCACGTCTGGAGAGGGCAAAGAGCACTGTCGTAACTCAATGAAATAATCAGCCAAGAAGGGCGCCAACAAGGTTGCAAATTTCTTATAAGAGACTGGAAAGCTGTCAGGACCCGGGGCCCGCGGTGGACCGTTGAGATTTGATAGCTTGAAGCACTTCCGATACGGTTACACTGGCGTTGAGGGCCATCTGCGCCGCTTCGGACAATCCAGGAAGTCAGAGATCTTGAAAGAATGTCTCTGTCCGAGCCACAGGGAAAGGATCTGGTTTAGTGTAAAGGGTGTGAAAAGAAGTCTGCGAAACGGGAACAATGTGCTGGGGATTGGAAGTACAGCCACCTGCAGGAAATCGCAATCGGATCGGTTTGTGGGTTTTCCCCCACAGAATTAAATTTCCTGGCCAGCATCGGACCCGGCTTATTAGCACAGGAATAAAATTTATGTTTGGTCCAACGCAGGGCCTGTTCAGCCTCCAGAGAAGCAAGTAGGTCCAACTCTGCTGCCAGAGCGCCCCGCGTGCATTTATGGGCCGCGGATGGGAGTGACTTCCAATGAGCATCTGCAAGGCCAGTAGAGAATGAAGATCCAAAAGACGGCGCTTCCACTTCGAGCCTCTGCCAGCTGTATAATGTGACCCCGCACCGTGGCTTTATGTGCCTCCCACAGGGGCACTGCCGAAGAGACAGATCCCGAGTTTTCCACAAAGTATATATGTAAGAAAGATTCTATTTGTTGGCAGGTAACCTGAGTGGTCAATAAAGATTTGTTAATGCGCCAGTGAAAGGGGCGTCGTACCAACCCCGAGAGGGCAAGGAGTAAAACCAGGGGATCATGGTCTGACCAGGGCGGGGAGGGGACGATATCCAGAAAAAGAGAGGAAGGCACCTCTAAGTGCAGTATTGGCAATTTATTTAGTCAACTAAATAAATTGTCAATACTGCACTTAGAGGCGCCTTCCTCTCTTGTTCTTGTTACTGCATTAGAGCCTTGCTTCCACTCTAAGAAGAGCTGCCTCAGTGTTACTGCTCCCATCCATCCCTGGTATCCATCTGGCACCTTTATCCTACAGCTATAGAGGTTGGGCTCCAACAAGCGTGCCCTATACAATAAAAATTTTCAGGGGACAGATATCCGCCTGACCAAGGGAAGCTGTCGGACATGCATAAATACATGGTCAATTCTGTAAAAACTGTCATGGGGATTTCAGTAGAATGTAAAGTCGCGCTCAGTTGGGTATAGTTCCCTCCAAACGTCCGCCAGCCCCGCAGTCTGCAAGAAAGAGCGCATACGTTCCTCTAACATTAAGTTGTGAGAAGGGGCCACCCCCCCGGGCATAGCGCCTATCCAAGGCGGAATCCAAGGTAACATTTGAATCTCCCAAAAGAAGACCCTTGGAGTGTCGGGAAATGATGGTGCAAAGATGAGAAAAACATTTATGCTGAAAGCGACTGGGGGCGTAGTAAGAGACAAAAGTAACCTCCTGGTCCCAGAGGGTGCCCAGCAGGAGCAGGTACCTGCCTGTGGGGTCCGCTATATTCCGATCACAGACGAAGGGGAGATTGCGTTTGAAAGCCATCAACACACCCCAGCATTTCTCAGGAGCCGAGGCCGTGTAAAAAGTGGAATAATGAGGCAAAAGATACCATAGGGCAGAGGACTGAGAAAACATGGTTTTCTGCAAACATACCACATCAATTTGTTGCGATTTGAGGTGATGAAAAACTTTAGACCACTCCTGAGGCAAATTGGAGCCTTGAATATTTTGTAAATGTACTTTCAAGAGAGATGAGGCCATGGCGGGATCGGCGCAGCACGCTCAGCAGAAAAAAAGCATAAGTCAGCCATCAATTCGTCAGTTCGTCCTGAAACCCCTTATAAAACAAAAACAGAAGGACCAGAAAAGAAAAGAAAGAAGAAGATGACACAAGGAGTATGTACAATAGCACAGTCGTATCACACCAATGGTGCAGTGCATCCTACACTTGAAGGATACCAGTTGGGGGAGGGGGGGGGCTCTACCACTGGACACATGGCTGAAAATACTCTAGCTAGGAGTGATCAGGAAGTGACTCCTGATTTCACGATGGTGGTGCAGTAACAACATGAGCTGTAAAGACTTAAAACTGAGGTCCAGTCAGCAACTACAGACACTCACCTGCCCCTCGATACCACGGTGTCCTTAAACCCACCAGGTTCACCGAACCTGTCAAGTGTCCCAGAAAACTACGAGGGTGGGGGAAGGACAACCACAGCGGAAGTGGGAGTGGTACCTGTCAAATTGGCACTGAACTTCTGGTGAGATACAAGAAGCCAGCAAGTGATTCAACCCAAATTTTTGGGTGGAGGTGGCTAGTAAATCGAAAACAGTGATAATATATTGTGTCTTTTCAGAAAATACATATTATGACTATTTTAAACATTTACTAAGAGGTACTTTGATATTGCTTTTGATTATGATGACCATTTTAAAACGCGTATTGGTAAGACAATTTTAAGCGGATCAGATTCACACGTTTTAAAATAAACCACTGTAGAATTCCCTTGGAGGCTTACACCAGCAAAAACAGTATTATAAGGATACCCACAGACAGAAAAATTTATTTTAAAAATATAATGCTAATGTTGTGCCTGTCAGAAAGTTTACAAGATACAAATATGACCTTCAGGCATCATTTCTTAAAAAAACTTTTTTTACCTTATGATGGATTGTTTTTGGATCCACATTGATGACTACAATGTCTCGAAGACGGGCATAGAGATCCTTCTTACTGGCCTGCACAGCGTAAGATGCATCCATACCTAAGAGCAAATTAAATCAATTTCAGCAATAACAACGCATTGTATCATATGTGTAATGTATGAGACCTTAGCTACCATGCATGTACAGGTCTTATATCAATGATTTCTAGGAGTTTACACAATCCAGTGAGTAATTATGACATTGTACTGTAGACTAAAATATGTTACTTTATTGTGTCATATAATGCAATTATTGCAACATTTCTAGGCACATATTTTAATGTTAAATGTATTGTGATTTGATTTTGCATGTCAAATTATATAGAATATTTAATAATGCTGTGCAAGAAGTTAAAATATCAATGCCAACGTGCAAAGCGCATTAACATTGGGTGCTTCAGTGCAAAGAAATGATGTTCAAAGTTAAATATACTGTAACTGTGAACAAGATTTTACTTTGTACTGCAGTTAAAGGTACATTTGGACTGGTCACGTACTGGTTACTGCAATTTGCACAATATTTTTTGCGATATTACACAAGCATTTACAGGTTTGTACTCAATCATCTTCAGACCGCCAAACAACCTGGGACTGTGCAATCTCGCTCTGCATGCTGGTAGTAGGAGTAAACCCTGGGCTGGCCTACAGTTTTTTGGATGAGAAAGAAACAACCGAGTACCGTCCATGATACTTTTTTTATTTGCACTAACATACAATTTTTCAGGATAAGTTTTGGGGTTGTACCCACTTATTCAAGGTCCAAGTAGTACTAATACACAACATTTAATGTTTTAGCAGAATGTTAAAATAAGAATCTCTGAGTGAAAAAACAAACAAAAAAAAACTCAGACGGTCTTATTTTAACATTCTGCTAAAACTTTGCGATTTAGTACTGCTTGGACCTTGAAGAAGGGGGTACACCTCGAAAGCTTGTCCTGAAAAATTGTATGTTAGTGCATATAAAAAAAAAAAGTATCACAGACAGTACTCAATTGTTTCTGTCACAAGTGCACTAATATGGCTACAATCACCTTGGAAGAGAAAGAAATATGTTTTTGGGAAAAAACTGCTGAAACCTATTGCTTCAACAGTACAACCAGATTTACAAAACAAATTTGTAAACTGGATAATCCAAAAGCAAACATTATGTAGATCTACTTAGCTACAACATGTACGGTTCGTATGTTGCCAAGGTTCTGTTGTAACAAACACATTTCTAAAAAATCAGTGGACTTTGAAAACGAATTTATCACCGATGCTCATAGAAACAGAGATGGGCTTGATTTAAAGTGTTTTTACTGCTTGTTCAGTGAATGTAAATATGTTAGTGTGGATAGTGTGTGTGTGTGTAGGTTTGCTTCAGGAACATACTGCAGTGTCCAGCAAACAAACAACTCTGACCTGACAACACCCATGTTTATACATTTACTACTAGACAGCTGTTAAGGACGTACCTTGGATCCTAATATCAGCAATGTTACACGATTCATCACAAATAAAAACATTAAAGGCATTTAATGTGGCTGAAAGCTTCATGTCAATAATATCTTCCTCTTTTGCGGCAGGAACAGCTGAAAACACAGACACATACATTTTACTTCAGCACTTTCACTTATGTGCTCTCCAATAAATACTTAAAGAAGTGTATACAGTATTTTCTGTATTAACATTTTGTATCCCAGTTACTGAATTTTTCCCAGCCCTACCACATACTGCTGTAGTACCAGAATTACCAATATCAGGCTTAGTGCTGATACTCTTCCGTCTTCCCAAGCTTGACTTCAATTCCTTGGTTTTCTCAGCCACACTGGTCTCACCAGATGGGATGGCACCAGACATGAAATTCATTAAGGAAAGCAAGGCTTGAGTGTGAAGAGTTAGGTCAAGTGAAGTCATGGAAGCCTGTCAAAGAACAGTAATATATATATATGAGCAACTACTGCACATTCAAATACCTTACTTTACAGATACAAATAAACGATTTAAAAAAAATAAAGATACAAGATGTCTGTACTAAACATTTAAATAATCAGACAATTTATATGATGTGCAATTTATCACAACCCAAGAACACCAAGCTGTCTTGGCAAGTTTTTCAAGAAAATCATTTACATGAGTGTAGATAGTCAACACATAATTTATAACCCATGAAAAGGTACCGTAAGTCTGCTATGCACAAGAGTAGGAGAAACAAAAAAAAAAAGTGTTTTGTTTGTTCCCAACTACAGTGATTTCCCATCCCAACAGGGAGTGAGGGGAAAAGTCTCCTCAATGAGGACAGCAAATAAAAATCTGACAGTGGTTATAAGTCTTTGCCACTGTCCAAAATAAAAAAAAAACGTTTTGGCTGGAGTTGTGATATAACAATATAATAAAGGACTAACATTTACTGTCTACAGTTAGATACGTAGTGCATGTAACCAAAGGGAGAAATGGAAAAATCCAGTTAAAAAAAATAAAATATTGACACACAGAACTAAGTGCCCATTCACACGGGAATGCGGTGCTGCAAACAAGCATTCCATGCATGTTTCCTGCACCACGGTCCAAACGCACTAGGTGTATGATCTATTGTGGGTGTCAACAGATTCATATTGACACCCTATATGCAGATCACAAATGCAGTCCATTTGCCTGCATCTGATCTGCAGTACCATGCAATCTGGTTGCGATGCATTTTTAAAAGTAGTGCATTCACTACTATTGGTGTGATCCAGTGTGATTTCAGTCCATTCAAATAAATGGGCTGAAAATCGCATCGCACTGAATTGCACAGAAGCATGGATCGCTTTCCTGTGCAATTTCTGTGTGGACCAGCACAAAAACTTGATGGAGTTGAAGAGAACTGCAAAAGGTCAATTAAAAACCAATTAATTTTCAAACTCTAATAATTTGAAGTTTTGCTTCCCAGTTGACAAAATAAAACAAATGTTTAAAAAAAGAAAAAAAAAAGTTGCATCTAAAGGCCTGGATTATTTCCTAGATACCAACAATATAACTGGATACTAACATTTATAGGTAAAGTTGACCCAGGAAATATCTGATTGCCTCTCAGGGGGTCAGGAAAAAATTTCTTCCCCTGCAAGAGCAAATTGATTCATGCTTTGCTGGGTTTTTTTTTTTGCCTTCCTCTAGATCAACTGTGGGTATAGGATTATAACTTTTTTTTTATGGTTGAACTAGATGGACTTTTGTCTTTTTTCAACCAGACTAACTATGTACTTACACTCAAGCGCTGAACAGTATTGTTGTGGATGGTTTTAAAACCTGGTCCATTACGATCAGCCTAAGGAAGAGAATTTAGATATCTGAGATTAAAAATGTTTTTAGGGGTATAAAATAACACAAACTGAACATAAATCAATTGCAAAGCCACAGTAAAAATCTAAATAGGGATTGTCGTTGGTTTTGTGTTAGTTCCAACACAGATTTGGGTGGAAGTTACATGTGGAATTTGAATGGAAATAAATAAAATACCACATAAAGCTGACAGCCATAAAGGAACAGCATCACAGTCACCTCCCACTATGTTCCCCATATTCATTCATAAATCCTACTCAATGAAATCCGATAATAATGGCATTACAAAAGCCAAATATAAAACAGTTAACACGGGGGAAACTAATAAAATCATTACCATTCTTTTAATAAAAAGCATCTGCCCTAATCTCCCTTTACCATCCAAAATGTCCACTTCGCTCCTCCCAAGACCACCTTGCATTCTAGCTTCCTCATCATCTCCACCCATGTTTGCCTCAAAGACTTCTCCAGAGCCTATCCCATTCTCTTCTTTAGCCTAGTTTGTCTGACTGGCTCTTACTCTCTGTGTACTGTTCGGTAATCCCTGAAAACTGATCTTTTCAGAGAAGTCTATCCCTCTTCTACCAAACAACTCAACTTTTACTTTCTCCATCAATACATGCCCACAAAGTTGTTACCTTGTTGTAGAACATGGCCCTTCCTTTTAAATTTTAAAATAGCATTCCAGTCTTTACTCAACTAGTCTTACAAATGCTCCCTCCCAAACTCCTATCACCTACACTAACTAACCTGTGTAATAAAGATGTATATACTTCAGGCTGCTCCAATCCGGTCATATGATCTCCCGTGTGTCATCTAGCACTGGCTGCAGAGGAGAGCATGTTTGACAATGGCTATTTATGCCGGAGAGTGATGACATCACCCATAGGCTCCCATGGCCCATTTGTTGTTTGTACTCTTTCCTTCTCCCCTGCAGCGACCACTGGCTGACACAGAGGAGTCGGATCACTGAACCGGAGTAGGATGAAAATAGGCAAGTATAGACATCCTTCTTACAAGAGTTAGTTAGTATAGAAGTTAGGGGGGAGGAGGGAATGTTCTTAAGACTAGTTAGGTAAAGCCCAGAATTCTACTTTAAGTTCTCACAAGCAGGGCCCTCCTAATCCTCTTGTTTTAAATTGTATTGTAACTGTACTGTCTCCCTTTATATTGTAATGCACTGCACAAACTGTGTTATATAGATCTGATATAAGAACAACAACAGGTTTCCACCCAAACAGAAATGACCATCAAACCTTCACATATTCCATTTTTAGAAGATGTTCTTTGGTGTCATCAGATGAGTTGACAAGAAGCAGAGGCCCTCCAGCAGATCCTATATTGTTACAAAAAAAAAAAAAGTTATAATGTGCAAATTTAGGTCAGTACATAAAACAAATATCTTAATCATCCTGCAATAGATAAAGGGTCAGTGATTACAAACTCACCCTTGAAGTCATTGCAAGTCATGCTGATCTTTTGAAGATATACTGTTGCTGTCATTTCATGGATCCCTACTCTTGTCTCTGCTCCAAGCTGCGAAATCTGGACAACATGAAGAGGGGAACCTCTTGCTTGCCTCATCAACTGTACAATAACCTTGGGAGACAGGACAAAAGTTAATCGTATACATCTATAAATGATATTTGTAAATTCTGCATAAAATTGTATTCTATTATTATGTATTGCATACTGCACTCATTGTGCGCAATGACAATGTTTTCATTACATGTTTCCATTCTTTCAAGTCCTGATTAGAAATTAGCCTGCCTATGTAACGCCCCTTGTTACCAAAAAAGTACAATTGTAATATTAATCCGATACCTACGTAATCATGTGTATAAAACCATTTCAAATGCCCTGAATAAACAGAATAGTTATTTGGAAAGATGCTGAATGTATCTTTTTGCGTCTGTTCCATACTGCAGTTATTAATTTGGAACCACTAATCAATATGATAGGAGTTGCCCATCTATAAAAATTTTCAGTACTAATGTCCAGAACAATACCCAGCAAGCAGACTTATATAGCAGTATAATTTTAGTAATGCAGTCTCTAAACAGCAAAAACAATGTGAGTCTTATATTATACCTCCCAGAAGTCCTGGGTTTCATGGAAATGATCATGGAACAAAATCCTGACATCCTGTGGATCCAGGCTATATCCTGCCACAGGCCAGGTGCTGGAACAATCACTCCTACACCTGGCTTCAGTTTATTTACTGCTCTGTCGAGCGGAGAGATCTTCTGCCGACATGAGCAATCCAATCCCAGCAGAGGGAGGGAGCAGAAAGCTCTCAGTAGACATGACCAGACCCCTTTCCTGCAAATTTGCGTGATGACAGTAGGCAAGACGGTAATGTGGAATACAGAGTGTGACAAACCAAAATAGGGAGATAGGTGGCACTAGGGTCACCAAAGTGACAAGATTATGCCAGGGTAACAGAATTTCCAAGTATATTCCAAGGTTATAGGAGGATGACGATGGCTGTACATAAGGCGGGCAGTGTACTGCGAACTGTCTTGTCCTGCCTGACAGCCACCACTCAGATTCACTTACAGTGAAGCAGTATAGACAGTGAGTTTTGAGACACTGATGCTTAAGAATTACAAGAAGAGTAAAAGCTTAATAGCTTAACATTGGAAGGGCAAAATGAGAAATGGCATACAGGGAGGACAGGATGTAATTAAAAATAAAGGGGGGTTGTTAGAGGTAGAACAGGGGCATTAGATGAAAAGGTTAACAATACACTGTCAAGACAGCCTAGGGTTGTATGATGGGAGGGAGAAAGGGATAATTAGGACAATTATTAAGAAGGTTGTGGAATGGGCTAAGGAGGGGGTTCATAAGGAAGATATGAAATAGAAGGGGTATGAAAAAAGAAAAGAGTTAACCTGGCAGTTCTACAAAGGTTGTAGAGGGGTATGGAGGTAGAGGGTGTGGGTAAGAAGGGAGCTAATGGGGCAGTTAGAGGTAGTGGACTATATTTCCTTTAGACCACGCCCAATATTCAGTGCCAATAAACCACTAAACACTTTCTGCCATGGTGTGCTAAAACACACTGCATGTTTTCTTCCTTTCAGGTTGTCCTTCTTAACTTCTAATTGTTGGGAGGAATATTATATCATGGAAACATTTTTAAGGAACGATATCACAAAATACCTTTTTAATTTCAAAATTAAGCAGAAGATTAAGTGCAGCTGATGATTTCACTACCCCAAGGTCCAATGACGACTCATTGGACGGTTTCAAACTAGTCACAGAGGCTTGCAAATTATCCCGTGTAGATTTCACAGTCTCTGCAGAAAGATAATTATGAATTAAACAAAGATTAAACAGACAACAGAATTCACAATCATTCTGGAGACTCTATCAATAAAGGAGTGCAGCGCTGCACTCCCATATTGATAGAGTCTATTTGAAAGGTTTGTGGTTCCTTTTTGGTGCAATAGCACCTTATCAGAGTGCGCTCACTAACCAGCCTACATACAATCATTCTGAAGAAATTATGTTTCTGTTACAGTCAGAATGCAAGAAAACATAACTACATCCAATGTTCTTTACTAAGCAAAACTTTATCTACCCAACAGTCACTCTTTTTTTATCCCAGAGCACCATGCATACATACCACTTTGGACAGGGACTTGTTCTAGGTCTGCGGTACTTTCTCCACCTTCACCAAGGTTTTCCACCAGAACACTAAACAGAACATTCAAATCTTCCTGGCTCAAACAAACCTAATGAACAAAAAGTAATATTTTATTAAGTATTTTTTACTGGTGCATCAAAATATGTATTCAAATATGCTTTATTATGGCTTGGTATACTTCACCAAGGTTATGTAGGCACTGGTGTTTCCCATGCATAACATTGCAGCTATTGTCACCCAACCAAAAACACATAGTGAACAAATGTCAGTCAGCAGATCACAGGTAGCACACCTGCTTGCCCTAAGTGCATTTACTGTTAAGCTAGCCATAGACAGTTTGAATCTCCCTTGCTTCAGCAGGAACCGGTAGAGATTTTAACCATGTATGGGCATGCTGGTTTTACCAAAGTTGATCAATCAATCAACATGGGTACAACCAGCATGCCCACTTTTTCATGCGATCATCGCAAGCTGCGGTTATAGCCACTAGCAATAATCACCGTCTTCTCCCAGAAAGAAATTTGCACAGTCTATGGCCTGCCTTAGTAAGCACAAAGCTGGTTGAAGTAATAGTACATTCACAGGAATGGATTCCTAGACCATGGGACATTCCAGCAAGTTGAGGGGTGGCAACACACAATAGCCAAACTGCAGCAACAGTCCCACAGGAAAAAACTTAAAAGGGGTCATTGGACCCAAACCGTTTACAGTAAAAAAAAAAAAACTTGCAGCTGAAGCACGCATCAGCAGAGGTCTCAAACAGCCACACAGCAAAAAATGGTTTTGAAAAACCGTGAACAGAGTATCAGGTGGAGACCTTGCAACTTGTGAAAAGAACAGATGCAGAATACTGTAAAAAGCCCATGAATCCAATCCTCTTTGGAGAACAGGTTCAGGTATGGAAGGTGCGACTTATTCCATGAGGGAAAGAGCCCTAAAACAAAATGGCAAAATCAACACCCAGCTGGATGGAAGGTGAAGGATGGAAGGTGAGGGATGAATCCCATAGAGAGATCACCCCGAGAGAAAGAAAAGAGGGTTCATTTCCCACTTCACAGTTCTGATTCCACCTATAAAGGTAAATCATAAGATGTCTGACATGCCTTCAGGCATGAAGGAGGAAGGGAGTACGTCATTCTCACAGAAGACCAGAAGAGCACTACAGAAGGCGGACTAGCCATCAGGATACTTGTTCTCCATATAACATAAGAAAGGAAAGGGGCTTTGAAGAAGAAGAAGGTCTTGGTGGGACACAGAAGACCACAGTCGGGGATAAGAAAAAGCAACTTATTGCAAGAGAGTGCACAGGAAGTGCAAGAACCAAGTTGTTAGGAAGAGGATATACAAGGCCAAACCAAGAACTTCAGTAAAAGAAGAGCTAGGTGTTTGTCATTTCCAAACAGAAAAAGTTGCAAGATAGAAATGGAAACAAGTTTCGAGATGAGGTTCCCCATCAGACTAGGTGAGAATTCCCTCACTGGACTGACTGCAGAGACTGAGGGAAGCGACTTGCATGCTTCAAGGAAGGAGGGAATGTGCCCAGTGGGTGATTATCAGTGAAACAAAGATGCTAGGAGACCATTGAGCAAAAGTCTGTAGAGCATGCAGAAAACTGTAAATGTATGGTGAGAGAGGCAAGCAAGTGCCAGAATACCTACAGATTAAATGTTGAAAGGGAGACAGAAACAAAAGTGAAGCATAGATAACAGGGGGCAATGTGACCTTCTCTAGTACTAAGCCTGTAATGGAGTTGCCCAGTACACAGGGCCAAATGGCTGAGGAGTTGAGAGCAGAATAGCTTTTCAGCCTGTAAAATAGGGGGACCAAGCAATCCTCAACCCTCACAAAGGAAAAGAATGGGTCTATCAGGGCTCATAGCAGAGCCTGAGGGTTGTAAACTAGGGAAACATTATGCCAATAAGGAGTAAAAAGTTCTAGGCAGTGGTACTAACATCCCCACATATGAAAAAAGAGAGTCCCATTGACTCTGAGTGGAGAAACCCAAGTCCGGACAGTCACAAAAGAGTCTAACAGTAAAACCTGAGAGAAAATGTATTTAAGGGGCAATTGAGGAGTGCCAATTACAGAATGTTCCTGGACATACAGTCATTGTAATTGGGATAATGAGGGAATAACACACACCTGGCCATGGAACAGCTGAGAAGCCAATTGTCCCATTACTTTTGGTCCCTTAACAAGTGGGAGGACATATGCAAACTGTTGTAATTCCTACACTGTTCAGCTGATTTGGATGTAAATACCCTCAAATTAAAAAGGGACAGTCTGCAGTTAAAGCACATCTTGTTTGTTTCATTTCAAATCCATTGTGGTGGTGTATAGAGCCAAAAATGTTAGAATTGTGTCGATGTCCCAATATTTATGGACCTGACTGTAGGACCAGACACAGAAAGAAAAGTCACGTTGAAAGAGAACATTAAGATTATACCAAGGTACCCTGAATTATAATAAAGCTTACCTGTGGGTAAAATGAATATCTCCTAAACATGCACTGTTTAACAGATATTCTAGTGAGCCGCAGCCGGTGATGCCACAGATGAATTTGCTCTGAAGGAACTGCAGCTCCTTCAGAGCTGTGTGCTGCGACCGAGACATCATCACGGCTCGGTCAGTCAAGAGGCTGCAGCCCGCGAATCCAGAAGGAAGACCGGTAAAGGTGGAAGCCCCTGCAGAAGTGACAACGCGCGCCACTGGAGGGCTTCATTTAAAGGTCTTTCATAATGTGCTAGCATGCGTTGCATACTACCACATTATAACATTTTATTTTTATTTATTTCAGGTACTTATATAGCGCCGTCAGTTTACGCAGCGCTTTACACATATATATTGAACATTCACATCAGTCCCTAACCCTCCAGGGGTGTACAATCTAAGGTCCCTAACTCACATTCATACATACACATGTTAGGGCCAATTTGGACAGGATCCAATTAACCTACCAGCATGTCTTTGGAATGTCAGAGGAAACCGGAACACCCGGAGGAAACCCACGCAAGCACAGGGAGAACATGCAAACTCCATGCAGGAGGTGCCATGGTCGAGAATAGGACCCATGACCCATTTACTGCAAAGCAGATGTGCTAACCACTAAGCCACTGTGCCGCCCCGCAGGGAGGGTTTCATTTTTCCCCCTCAAGTTTACTACAGCTTTAAAAGGTGGAAATGGCAGATTGTAGGCCGAAACCTGCTAGAACAAAGGAGGACTTCAAATGAGTTTCCAAACACCTATCAACTGAAGGAGGGGTCTACCATGAATAGAATTAATAAATTTATAACCTAGTGCAAGAATGGTTGGGTCCACAGTGTAAACAGACCTCTTCTTGTGAAATTCTTCCATAGGATAAAAGGTGTCAAAATTGACAGAAGGGAGCATTCATTGTATAAGACCCAGTTGACATGATCAAAAGTAGGAAAAGGCTTTCTAAGAAAGATCCTGTTTATTGTGCCCATAGGAATAATGGGGGGGGGGGGGGGGGGTGTCACTATGCAGCACTAAGTTTAACTATCCAGAGACTAGTAAGCACTGCCTCAATCAATGAGACCACAGTAGATAGCATTTGGCAAGAATCTGTAGTGACTTCACAAAAGTTTTGTGGTGAAAAATCTTCAGCAGTCTCCGCTAACATGTCTGAACTCCTCTTGCCTTCTGCTGCAGTAAGTGCACTAGGCAATTCAGGTTGTAGTCCATGAAAATAGTTAGGGGGAGGAGATGCAGGACTAATATGACTATGGCTTTTATGACTAATGGCCCGCGCAAATTTCATAAGTGGTGATAGCCTTTGGAATAAATCAGATATTGTGGCAGAGAAAGCTGGTTTAGTCAGACAGGCTGCATGTCGTAGGTTAGTGAGGGAGTCTGAATCAAGGGCCTGGAGTTTTGTCATTGTGAGATCTTGCTCCGAAACAATTGAACAGCTAGCAACCTGAGAGGAACTTGAACTTTCCTGGCCTGCAGCAGAAACTCCACTTTCTGTCCCATGTCCTCCTGTTCCCAATCCATCATTGCAAAGTGAGGATCTTCTCCTATTCATAGAATAGATGTGGACTGAGGAGGCTTCAGTGTGTGAGATGACAAATGATGAACTTGTGTCGTCAGCAGAAAATTGTGGTTACAAATGTACAGTTAGGAGTCATATAGAGAAACTTCTGGTAGTGAGGTGGAAGAACAGACCAACAATTCTAAATAAGTAAATGCTATAATATTGGTACAAGGAAAAAAAGGGAAACAATTAGGCTACGTTTACACAGACGTTTGAATCTGGCAGCAACTAAAGGCCAGTAATCTGCACTTGAAAAAGATTAAAGGTTTCCTGCAGATAGTTATAGTTTGTAGGGGAGTTTAGCAGCGTTTAGGTGTGGCAGTGTTTTCAGGCATTTTTTTCTCATGTTATACCCCAGACACCTCCTCTTCCACTTGTTGGTAGTTTTCTAGGCAAGGATATAGAGCTGAGTAATTGAAATGGAGTACACAGCAAAGCTGGTGCTTACCAATGTGTGCCTGCTTGAGAGGAGAAAACTGAGGGCTGGTTTACACACACAGCACTATTTTTAAAAACGCACCTCAGTAAACTGCATAGTACTGCAATTCGGTGCCCGCAAATGCACTGCCCTATATTCTGTGTTTGGAGTGCCATTAACAATTAATTGACACCCGAAAGCAGATTGCAAGGGTGGCGCAGTTATCTGCAGTGGGGGAAACATGCATAGAGCGCACCTTTCCCACACCAAGGCAGAGAGAAAGGCAGAGAGATAGGCAAATTAAGTGTATCCCCTAACTACCCAGCATTTAACTAGGGGATATTTTGTCCTGAAGTAGAAGGAAATCAGAACCCATCCTAATAAATTTTACAATCTTACCAAAATGTCAGTGTCTACCTTTGACAGGCTACTAACTATTGTTAGATCACGTCTGAAAATAATGGATATCAACATTAGGGTGCATGTAAACCACCATGAGAAGGAATACCGACATTTCAGAAAGAGAAGGGGAAGCGTGTCATTTTCTGCTGCAAAACACACTGCAGCTATCTGCAGCTAAATGTAATGTGTGTTTACCTGAAAATAGATGGATAGAGCACTTTCCTTGTTCTAAACACAGCTAAACTGTCTGCAACTAAACGTTGCTAATCTTTATGTATGAATAACATGGTTACTTTGCATTGTGTGAGTCCAGCTGCTTAATTAAAAACAAAAAACACACATTCTAAACACAGCGAAAGTCTGAAATTTAGACATCCATGTGAATTTAGCCTTAAAATTGGGTAAAAAAAAATCCCGTGAGTAGATCATCCTGTAACCTGTGCCTTCAAAACCGCATGTAATCATAGCACTGTGGTGAGTCTCATAGGATAAGAACGCAATGTAGTTTATACTACAGATCCATCAAGACAAACATAACAAGTAAACCAGTATAGCCAAAGGTACAGGGAAACCTTGTCTTACCATTTTCATAACGCTGAGCCTGTTCATGACCCAGGCTTTGAACCTCATGGTGGACATACCCTCAAAGACATCTTCAGGGTCCGGGTGCCATGGAAATGGACAATAGCTCTGAACTTGTATAGCACCCTCCGGCTTCCTACATTTGTTGTACCACATGCCAAGCAGAGTGTCAAACGCAGAATCCAGTGCCCAAAGCAAACAAAGTTCAACCCAGAAATGTCAGCTAGCCAGTAAAACCCCTCTCACTCCTGTCATGCTCAAGTTTCATGCAAAAGCAGTAGTGATCATTGGACAGAAGGTGGGACCTGTGTACCTTAAACACCAAGAAAACAATTCTAGGGTAAGTAAAAAATCCTGTTTTCTTAAAACATTGTTAATAGACACAGAGATACAGTACATGGGATGTCCAAAAGCAATTCAACTGAGGGGAGGGCAATAAAGCAAACAAAACATTAACAAGCCCACAAAAAAAAGAGCTAAACTGGGGGCTAATTGCAGCTCAAAGAGTTGCCTGAAGGCCCCTGCATCAGCTGAGGCCTGAACATCTACCTAGTAAAATTTGGCAAATGCATTAACAGAAAATCTGAGAAACAGCTGAAATGCTCAAGAAGAATATCCTGATCTAGTGGAAGGTGCCTTGACAGGAAAAGGTGTGAACTTGTTCTCAAGTCTTTAGACATCTGCCTACGCCACCCAGAGATGGTGGACCCTGAGGAATCACGAAAGAGTGAGGCAATCTTCAGGCTGACATCCATCATGAGATTCTTTCAGAGAGATGGAGAGGAGGATTTACCCAACACCAAGGCTGAATTTGTGATTGTCCAGGCCAGGGATAACTTGGTCTTGGGTGCCAGGTGTCCATGATTGTTCAGAGTATGTGCCTTCTTGTCTACTAAGACAGAATGTTGAGTTGCAATGGTGATTGCTGGAATTGGGTGAAGGGGACTGACTCAAAAGAGGCCACCATCAATCCCAGAACTCCCACGTCACAAGCAGAGTTTGCTATGGGAACAGACAGCCAGGAGTCTGTCTCATGGAGGTAAATTCCTAAACTAAGCAATATCTAGTAAGAGACGTACTTACTCCAAGCGGATCGGGTACCAGTGCTCTCTTCTGGATGTTCAGTATTCAACCAAACCTCTTGAGAGTTTGAAGTGTTTGTTGGATATTGACTGATAAGGCCTGTGCCTTTCAGTAGAAGGCTGTCCAGATACTCTGTTATGGGTATGCCCTGCAAGTGTAGCAGGGCTAGCACCTTTTTGAAAACTTGAGGTGCAGTGGACACGCTAAATTGAAGAGCAATGAATTGTTAGTGCTGCATGCCCACAGCAAAGGCGAGTAGTGTTGATGTCCTGGAAAGATAAGGACATGCAAAAAGGCAAACTATGTCCACAGAAACCAGAAAATCTTCCAGATGGAGGAAAGAAATGGCTGGCTGGGTATATTTCATATGGAACTCCCATACCTGAATGAAAAAATTTCACAGCTATGTTCCACAAAGTGCTTGCGCCCACATACAATGACACCAAAGTGTCAAACTAACAGGTAAATAACACGTGACCAACAGTAGACTTTCAGGTGTGTGCAGCATCAGCCTCCCAGGGTGCCTGTGGTAATTAGGAGTTTACAAGATATTAATCCCTGTAAGAGATAAAACTAGGAAGCAGTACACATGCCAGGCTCCACAGAAAAGAGGGGCAAAGCCCTCATTGCTTACTGCAACGGTGGTCTGGACAGAAACCCGTGACTGACAGAAAACTGCAGCAAAGTACCTGAAGTTGCCAAAGCAGTGGGAAAGTCAAATTCCAGTCTTTGACCCTTTGGAGGGCATACTCCAAAGGAGTCTTCTGGGACAGGATTATACCAGATGGGTGTACCATGGCCCTGGACCTGTAAAGCATTCTGCGGCTAACTAACACAGCACAGAGGGTGTCTGGAGACTGCCAACAAGCAGAGGCTAGTGCCGAAAGGTCATATTACAGGCAAGTTCAGCATCTTCATCATGGTGGGGTCCAGGTTTAGCCTTTAAGTCAGTGCCAAGGATTAGTCAATCCAGAAAACTTCAAAATAAGCTCTCTTGGGTCTGCAGTCAACAAATATTGATCAAAAGAAAAATGTCTTGATAAAAAAGGAACAATAGTTTTGTTTTTCTCTGAGGAGAAAGGATGTCCATTCTCCTAGGACACTAGCAAGAATCCAAAGAACGATGGGTGAGGAAACGAGTTATACTGGCCGACTAACAATTTAATGCCAATGCCCAATTCTCCTGTAGGTGGCAGTATAACCCATAAGCCTCAGAATTTCTTTTGACCTTGTACCATAATGCACATTAATGCAGTTGAATATGTGTACACACAACACACATGTAAATATTCCAAACATCAGCCAAAACTATTTGTGACAAAATACTCCATATTTAAATGAACACTCACATCCATGGAATTAAGGTGACCTTTCACTTCTAAGACAGGAATTTGATGGTACCATGATGCTGCAAGATTTCGATTAACTGCTAAACTCAGGTTGATAGGATAGAGCAACTGTATATCAGACTGAGATGGAGTGCTGCTCAACACTGTTCTGCAGAGAAGCAGAAAAAAAATAAAATAAAAAAAAAAAACATTGATTCTAAAAGTTATGATTTCCCTTAAGTTCAAAAGCATTTAAACAGTTATCTGGTTTTTATATATACACAACCTTTGTTCTATAAACATTTAATACATGAAAAAGGATTTCCAATACTATGGGTTACCTAAAGGGACAACACATAAGACACTGCTTGGCTTCCTGCCCTGCCTTAAGCTTAAATTTACCTGGGAAAGTCATCCTGACAATCCATTTTTTAGATATTACTTTACATGGTAACATCACAACAGGTACAATTTTTTCATCCACCTATCGGAAGTCTTGTTCTGGCAATACCACACTTTATACCACAAGCTGCTATCCACTCCACACCACCTGCGCATTACCAGTTGAGGAATTTATCAGAGCACGTAGAAATTGTTCTACAGATTTGTTATGTGACAAGGAATGTGATCTTACTGATACATGATTGAGATAAAGAGGTTTCCCTGACTGGTCCATAAATTAGGAAAGAGAGAATTGCCAGTGATAAGAATAGGAAAGCTCATTTGGACTCCACTATTAACAGTGACAAGAATAAAACAAAATCAAGGGTATCCAAAAAAAAAAAAAAAAAAAAAAATACATTGCAAAAGTCAATGTTTCTAGTTTCTTAATCATACATCACAGGATATAGAGTTAGCCTATGGATCCATATACCACTGCTGGGGATGGTAATGGTTTTATCTGGATCGGTCCCCTACAGCCCCAAACCTTGTTGCAGAAGATCAGGGATAGCCTGTATTCTTGTCAGGCAGCACTGGATTTGGGGGCAGCGCTCACTAGGGTACATGGTATTGTCACTGGCAAGGTGCTCTACAGGACCATGGCAGTGATCCACCTGGGGCAGGAAGGGTTGTGTCGCTAAAAGCCCTAAAGACATTTAGAGCTTGCCTGTTGTGATTTCTGAAGATTAGACTCTAAAATAGCTCTGTGGCCTACATTGGCGTTTTTTTGCGTGGAAGTCTTCATACGTGGTTGTAATTCTTAGACTGCGTTCTCTCAATGGAGGTGCCCTTTTGGCAGTGTGTTGTTCATGGAGGTGCGGCTGTGTCAGTGCAGCCTATGCTGGAAAGTACAACTGTGTCTGCAAAGTGGGCAAGATGCTCACTGCTATGCAGATTGCTACAACGCTGTAGTGGTGTTCAATGGAGGTAGAATCAGCGGCATCCCCGAGCACCTGAAGCATATGTGGAAGCACTCTCCAGGTCCTCTCCAGGTCCTTAGATACTTGACACCCATCTGGAAAGGCACTGCAGCACTGGGAGTTGGGTATTCTTCTGCTAGGTGCAATTTATTACCTGTTTAAGGTAGTACTTCAGTTTTTAAATTTGAGGCCTTAAATAATCATTTGTTTTCTGTAAAGAATCAGTTCGTAGATATGTTATATAGAATCAAAGATTAACATTCACATATATGAGGCCGCGCGGGCCGCATTTTGCACGGGCACAAGAGCTTGGATCAGCAGATTAACGTCAGCAGACAGAAAATTTTAGCCCACTGTTGGCTGAATATGGATCACAGGAGTGCAGAACTAAGTGCACTCTGACCCACAGGAAGAATAGGGCCAAAAGAGCTCATTTCATCTTTGTTGAGCAATAAAGTGTAAAACATAAGCAAAACCTTAAACTACTTAGGAGTCATGCTCCTTAGACTAGATAACCCAAAAGTTTTTTTTCTGCATTACAATCCATTGGGGTAGTGTGATGCCTACAATTGATTTCACACTCCTGTACTGTTGGGCAGAACTGAAAGTTTCGGGGGAATTTTCTTGCTAAAGAAAACTCCCAGTGATAGAAGTAGTCAACATGAGGTTTAACTTATCTTAAAAGGAGAGTTTGGCATGGTTGTAGCTAAGAGATTTTTAAAAATGAACTGCACTTTTCTTCTAAACGATGCACTTACCTGGATAACTTGAACTCAGTTAAGCTGATGGTCATGCAATCTACAACAGGTGCAAGCTCTTGATCTGAAGATATCAGTCTAAATTGATTCTGTATTTTGATTAACCCCAGATCTGCCACTAAGGCATTATTGGACACAGAAGACTGAGGGATAACTATCACTGGAGCTTTAAGATGAATATCCATTAGCAGCCGAAAACTTCTCTCTGCCAGGTCCTTCACACTGGTGGCCGCACGGTGTGCTGCTTGTGCTGTGGCAGCACTCAACCTCTCTTTTGCGGCCTGAAAGTTATTTAGGAATCTCTGTCAAAAAAGTAAAAAAAGGACACATCAATTTGAATCCAAGATGCGACATGGGAGACTGCACATGAATTTTACATACATCACTAAAAACAGCAATATGCATATCACCACTCATCATATACAGTTACAGTGGGCAAATCTTCATTAGGAATGGCATATCCCCAGTCTTTTTTGCTAAAGCTAACTCCATCAGTTGCTATCCCATATGTTTGCAATACAGCAACAGACAGGAGTGCAGTGTCTCTCTCTATAAAAGCTTTTGTATATTTTAACACCAATTTGTACTCTTTCACAGCAGATTACACCGGAGAGGGCCTAGTAAATCTCCTTACCGCCATAATCACTTTATAATTTAAAGCTTATCAAAAGATATTATCTGGAAAATAATATTATTCAGAAAAAAAATGAACTAGCAGTCATTTCCTTTGCTCGACAGACTACAATAAGTGCATTAATATTCCACTATTCATAAAACAGTGCCTATGTTATTTAAAGCATACAGAATGACTTTCATTACGATCACTTTCTATAATGGATACATTTGAGACCTCATTTCTGAAACCTTGAAGGCTGTAAGGCATATAAACTGATTTCCGTGCTAAATGGCCATAAACAACAAAAGTCAATGTCTTGTTTGAAAGACTATCTTGAGCATTTCCTAATATTACTGTTTTGCATAATCTTATTTTACTTGTTTTTATCAGGGTTCTCAAGGGTCACTAAACATCTTTGATAACAATAGTGTTGTCATTTGTTACAATAGATCAACCACACAAGTAGTCAATTGATGTTATAAATGGGATATGAGTGAGAGGTTAGGGAGAGAATGGGGTGGTTGTTGAAGAGAATACTTATTTCCTGTATGAAATGCGTATTGTTGACTTTTGTTTCTATTAAATATCTGTACTGGAGAAGCGATATAGCATAAAGAGTAAGAGAGGGAAGGTGACGGTATATCAGGTATGTAGGGTAATCATTAGATAAATAGAAGGAAAAGATATAGGGGGCATGAATAAACTGAAGGATATGGAACTTATAGGGGAAAGGGGGAATGGGTGGAGGGCAAGGGGAAGAAGTACCCCCCCCCTCCCCATCTCATCCACAGCCAGTCAGCAGCAGTGCTGCAAGAATTACGTGGCCAAGATATTGCAGATCACTTTGGAGCTTCTGAAGACTGTCTGAGCAGTCCAAGTCACCGTGGACTGTTATGTTTTATTATGTGCTTCAGCAGTCAGAGGTTTGAGGCACATGATCCAATCCAACTCTGTGACCCACTCAGCAATAAAGGGGTATGAGTTGAGACTGACAATGGTGGGGGATGACAGCTCTGACACCACCAGAAAATTTTCTGTTAAGGATAGAGAATGTGGAGGGTAGTGTGACACCTATATCATCATATTAAAATGTTTAGGTTTTTCTTAAGAGGATGGAGGACCTCATTTATGAGGTTCAATTAAATAGGTAACAGTTATTCAAACTGGAAAAGGGACACTTAAGAGAAGATATGATTACAACGTACACACATATGAAAGGTGCTCAAGGGTGCCCACCAGCGTCCTTGCAGTTGTTTGATAACTAAAAGCCATCTATGGTGGTGGCAGTTGGGACCTGTAATTTGTTCATTCACAGATCTAGTTTTAAATTGTGACAGTGGGTGTGGGGAGAGGATCCCCCACCTGCTGTCACATTGGGGGAATCTGGGGTGAGCGTGGCTGCTGCATTAGTAACAAGTTACACCCGAAGTACAACTGTAACACGCAACATGTTACTAAAGGTGTACTTATCCTTTAAAATGTGGAACTCACTCAGGAACTGGTATTAAATAGATTGTCAACAATTTCCAAAAAAGTTTAGATATCTTCTTCAGGAAGCAGAATATACAGGGCTATGGGCATTGTTAGAGAATAAAGGTCACACACACACACAGCTGGATGGACCGTTGTCTATTTTCAACCCTACAAAATATGTAACCTGATTGTTATTTCTTTTTAAAAAAAAAAAAAAGCATTTACAAACAGGTTCATACTTACCTGCTCTGTGTAGTGGAACTGCACAGAGTGGCCCCAAACCTCCTCTTCTTGGGTCCCCCTCTGGTGCTCCTTCCCTCCACCAAGTGCTCCATAAAAATCCACTTTCTATGGGGGCACTTGTCCAGCTCGCACAGATAGCAGGACTCAGCCCCACCCGCTCATCACTGGCTTTGATTCACAGCAACGGGAGCGAATAGCTCCTGCTGCCTTAGCAAAGCCAAGTGAGCCAAGGAAGTGAGAGGAGAGAAGAGCTGCAGACATGCACAGCTATGGACTGAATGCAGGCTCAAGCAAAAAAGTTTAAGGTTTTATAACCACTTTAAAGCTGAACTGCAAGAATTTAAAAAAAAAAAAACCCGAATGAGTCAGAATTCAATAAATCTCATAACTTCCAAATGCTTTCATAACATTTAATGTTTTGAAACAAGAAAATAATGAAAACAATAAAATGTTTTACTAAGACATGGCATTCAATCTCAGTTTGTTTTTCTATGCACGTTTTCTCTTTTTCTCTTACTATATGCATACATTCTCACAAGTTTGTATACCCATCTTCAATCTTATTTACTAATCCTCTTCAAAACATCTTTCAGGAAATGAACTGTAACATTCTAAGATTATTGTAAAAGACCTGTGAGGAATAACAAATCTGCTTTTTCAATTTAAATACTGTATGTACAGTCATGGCCAAAAATATTGGCACCCCCGCATTTCTGTCAGATAATGCACCACTTAGCTCAGAAAATTGTAGCAATTACAAATGCTTAGGCATTCTCATGTTTCTTTTGTTTGTATTGATATGACACAAAAAGGCGGAGAAACAAAAAGCCAAATCTGACAAATTACTATACATCAGATAAGCTTTGTAAAATAAAAACCATCAATTCTCTGGCATACCCGAACTGTGCAGTCTACCCAGTTCCATGTCTTCTGGAGTTGTTTTCCATTATTTTAAGCCTTTTTGGAAATAGAATAATTTCTCTACATTCAAGCTAGATTTAAACATTTCATATAGGCCTGAGGCATGTCTACGGGACAAATATATTGCAAGCATTCTGTCTTCCCATTTCAAATATTTCTACAAGTCAAGGGTTATAAGTATGCCCGAGGCTCACATACAAAAAAAAGCATGACATAGGAAGAATATGGTGCCGCATTTCCTCCTCCAGAAGTTAAATAGTGGAACAGTGGACAACAAGTCAAAAAATCTAACGCAGACTTAAGAAGCTCATAGATTTCTTGATTTTCTTTCCTTCCACCACGGGTAGAAGGATAGAGAAAAAAAAAAAAAAAATCGCCTGATTCCCCTATTAACACTGACTGTGGCACTACTGTGTTTTGCAGCCTGGGGGAGGTGGACACCTTCCCAGCGGGCAGAACACAATGGTTACTGCTAGCAGCTATAGCCACTGGTAGTGATTGAATGTAAAAAAAATCCATCAGGCTGGTTGCACCCAAGTCGGTTGATGGATCAGCTTGGGTACAATCAACTTGCTCATACGTACATGGATCAAATCTTAGCTGGTCCCTGCTGAACTGGCCGAATTTCGAATTTCGATGTATGGCCAGTGCTATCATTTGCAATTGTGTGCAAAGGTCACATAACCGATGGGCAGAACTCACAAGCTCTACTTTGATTCGGTGATGTGAAGGTTCTCTCACTCCTCATTGGCTCAGATATAGCAGCAAGAACCATTGTCTCCCATTACTGTCAATCAGAGCCGATGACAAGGAGGGGGGCAGACCCAAGCCAATTTCTGTGTGTTTTATGGACACACAAAGTAGGGTATGGGAGTGAGCATGCAAGAGTGCCTCCAGAGCAAGCAGCTTACTATGGGGGCACTCGGCAGGGGGTATATGGAGTATAATATTTTTTTTTTTTGTTTTTGTTTTTTTAATTTTTATTATTATTATACAGGATTTATATAACAAACCAGCTTTACCCTCCCTATTAATGCAATATCTCACCTTGCTCTGCACATGCTCAGTTGCTGTCTATTCTCAGCACTGTACTTAAAATTAGAGCGACTAGATGATGATCAGCTGACAGTTTTAGGATTTACTGTTGCTGAAGGGGGAAGAAAGCAACAGGCATGACACAGACTGTGGTAAATGAACACAGATTAGGGAGGGAGAAAAGTAAAGCAAGAGAGGTGACAGGACAAACCCTGCTGCCAGGGAGGCGCAAAAGAATTAAACTTGTAAGGACAGTGTCATACCTTTTCTCCCTCAACACTTTAAAAGCTCCCATCAGCCTTCCTTTATCTATGAGTCAAGACACACAATCAAGACTGGAAATGTACACATTTTATTTGAAGAAAGTAACATGTCGTTTTTCAGACCAAAGAGAGGGGGAGAGTTCTTGAGGAAGGAAGTGACTGGACGGTGCTTCAACAAAATGGTGGCTTCCAGTAATAAGAACAGGAGCAATATGTAACAAAAAGCACATGTAACAATAACTTAGATACATTCAAAGAGACCCTGGCACCAACTTTACCCGTCGATGCTGGTGCCTCCCAGCCCTTTAAGGGGTTTGAGACATTGGGAGGCAGGGTGGTGTTTAGGGTCATGTGACCTCTCTGATGGGCTATCACACAGGTCACATGATCGGAAAGATCCCGAACGCAAGTAGTGATTGAGATCTTTCTGTAAGGTGTTGGTAAATGTGCCGGAAGCACGCTCTGTTGTTTGTTTTTTTTTTACTTTTGGTACGCAAATATGCGGCTGCCTGGCGCCAAGGCCCAGCCGCCGAGAGGCCGCATATTTGTGTACTGTCGGAGTCAACAGTTTAAATACTGAAGTAAAAAGTACAGAAAAATCAAGTATTTTAAATAGTTGCCTGCAGCACTTTCCTTTATTGAATATTTTATTCATATGGTATGTGCCTGTAAACTGGCTAGAAAATTTGACTACTCCATAAAGAGGGTGATTTACTAAATCTGGAAAGTGCAAAATCTGGTGCAGCTTTGC